GTAGAAAAATACAAAAATTTTCTGGGGGAGAAAACCCCAGACCCTCTCCAAGGCCGTAGCAACCGCGGGGGGGGGGGCTGGGGGCTGCAGCCCCCCAATAATTTGCTAATAATCATTCATTTTTCAAAATCATGCAGACCTTTATTATTTAATCCATGACAAACTGCAAAGAATGAAGATATTACCCATACTTTCCTGCAACTTATCCAATATACTGTATCGTTAGGTAATTAAATACACCTTCGTCCATTTAGTACTACTGAATTCTAAATTTCCACATACTAAAAACGCTGTTTTCTGACAATCAGAAATCTGTCAAATCTTCCCCAAAGTCCAGAGACTCTAAATTTAAAAATTTCCTCGGGCCTTCGGCCCTCGCTTTCAGCCCCCCCCCCAAACGAAAAGAGCTTCCTACGGTCCTGCTCTCCCCCCCTACTATTAAATGCGATACCACACCAAACGTTTTGTTACCAACAAACCATCTATCATTGCTCCACACTCGGTATAGTATGGTCCCTTTTTGTAGATGGCCCCCCCACTGACGAATTCTTAAAAAATGCCCTGGGTATATTATACGAATTAAGTATACTGATTAGCTTTTCAGCTTAAGACTTAAGTACGCTTAAACTATGGCACTCTTCTCCGTATTTAAACTTCTATTCGTATATCTGCTTTTGTTCGTAATCCCTGGAAAAGCCAACATTCAGCAGCATAGCAACAGAATTGAAAGATGGGCAGAGCAACTTTCATTTGAAGTAAATAATGTCTTAGAGAAGAATTTTGGTCTAACCAAATTTCAGAGCCTCATCGATCAAGCTTTATATCAGAGAATTTCTTCACAAGGTAGCGAGCTCCTGAATAATATTTCTATTGCTGTAGATGAAAAATTGCAAGATGTTTTAAGGACATTGATTTCAAATAAAGTGTTATTGGAGACAGAATTAATACTTAAAGATCGACCATTCAGGACTGTAAACTGCTGTGATCGAAGAGGAAAATTGAGATATGATGCAAGCTTTAGAAGTAACGTTGATAGAAACTCATCTTGTGTTCTTCCACCCAGAGGAAATTCATATTTGACATCACGTTTAGAGGAGAATTATAAAAGAAATGTATTAACTTCAAAAGCTATCAAATGGCAGTATTTTGGATCCAATAATGGATCATATCATCAATACCCCAGATCTGAACATCGTTGTGCCAAAGAGGAAATATTTGACCCACGATTAAGGTAATTTATTACAAACGATCGTGCAATCCATGCTTTTTAAGCAGTTTATTGTTGTGCCCTGCAATCCTATCACTGTTATATTAATAATACCATATTTCCAGATAATAGCTATATGCATTTCAGCTTGATCATTTTGACTTTACATATTTTCGCTTTCTTACGTCGATAGAGCAATTACTATATTATACATACAAGATAATTTTAGTATGCATGCACCACTCAGTGCTAACCAATTTGTGCAATGATAAAATTGGTTTGTTAAAAAGTTACACTTATGGAGTTATGCATGCCATTGGCATTGCAAACGATACTCGACGTCAAACCATTGTCTAATTATGATATAAACAGGAATGACTTCTCCATCTGGTGCATTCTGATCATATGACATATCTTTGTCTTTACATGATTTCGCTTTCTTTCTTTCTTTTCGATTTCGCTTTCAGTGCTAACCAATTTGTGCAATGCTAAAATGAAAGTGCAATGTACAGTGTCGGTGTAAACAGTGCAAAATGTACAGTGTCAGTGATAACATTTGTTGTCAATGTTGTGCATGATACATTCTCAATTTAGTTATAGAACGCACAAAAACCCAAACATCGATTTTGTCCACGAGAGACGTCATATGTTCGTTTAGGGGGTTGCAGCTGTGACGTTTCTCTGCAAAACATGGGAAAATTCGATAGTTTTTTCGAAAACCTTTAACATTTCGGAATCATCTTTGCAGAATACTGATAAAAAAAGAAAACAACTTGATACAAACACCAGTCTATACATTCGTAATACCATACCTGTTCTATACATTTATAGTAGGCGCCTTCCTTGACCTTGCATTGAAAACACTCACATTTTAAGAAAAACGCGCTAAAAAGTAAAATTGTCAATATCTCAGGCAAACTAAATTGTTTTGAGAAACATTGGAAATTTTGAAGTTCATATTAATAAAAAAAAACATGCCAGCAGATGACATATTCCTCGCGGAAGCATCGCCAATAGCCGACCGTAAAAAATAGTAGAAAATTACCTTATGTGTACTACAAGAACAAAATATCGGTAATTATATGTGACGTTTCTAGGTGGGGGGGGGGGGTCTCCAGAGAAACGAACATATGACGTTTCTCGTGGACAAAATCGGTATGTGCATGAGGCTTCCCTAAAGAGTATTTGAGCTTATAGACCAATCCTGGCAAACTTATTTTAAAGTCTAGCTCTGCTCCGAACAGTTACATGGAGTTCATCTATGCAGGTTTATTTTTAGTGTGCATGCAGACATAGCCTGCTCACAGACGTTGTTCTTACGCCAAGCGACCAAATGCAGGCATGGTTGTTTTTCAATCAATCTAAGGCTACGTTTGCACTATGCCAGACGACTTTCCGCATAGCGGCGCCAAAATGCACCTATCCGAAATGGAATGGACAACTTTCAGAAGCTGAGCGAAACAACATCTCTCCGTTGCAATCCTTTGAAAATAGCGTTCCTACAAAATGTAAGGATACAGTAGGTGTTTCTTCGCGTTGCTACGGAAAGCTATCCATTACAGTGTAAACGTAGGACTGGCACTGGCAAAGCCATTGCTTATTGATGTGCAGCGAAACAAATTTCATAAAATTAGTTATGCTATATGCTGTTTGTTTTCCTGGGCCCTAGCCCCAGGTATTTTTAATGGTTTTAAAACCATACATTGACAAGAGTCATTGTGTTAATATTATTAAACTGCGGCTGTCCTGTAAGTGACACTGATATTCTAATTTGTTTTTTTTGTTCAATTGATAATTGTTTTTTGTTTTTGCATGCATGGCAATGCAACATGTCATTTTAAGTAACGAATTATGCCGGAATACGTATCAGGGGTTATTCTAAGCTGGATTTGCTAGGTCTTTCTGGAGTTGGAAAAAAAGATCTGGAGTTGTAAATAAAAAACACTGGAGGTGTCACTGATATAAAACTGATATTTTAGTCTTCAACTCAACACACAAAAATATATCACGTACATTCCAGCAGTCACATTCATTGACGTATAAAGTATAATGTATAGTCTAGTTTAAAAATGTAAATTAGAGAAGTTATAAGTGTTTTTTATCCATAAGCCAAGCTTTGATCAAAACAGTTTGGCCTTCTTATTTTGTTCTACATGTTGATCCACTAGCTGTCATTGCTTGTGTGTTCTTCAGTTCTTCTCAGTTGCTTATTTGAACACACCTTTGGTCCATCGTTGATAACGTGCTTTGTCAGTTTCCTTGTTTCTGCCTTCCCTTTGTTGCAGCCATCTCACAACACACATTCTTTGATCCAATTCTTCAAGAGTTGGCATATTGAAGTGAACGTATAGATAAAGATTTTGTGTTTCGACATCAATAGAATTCCTCACTCCTCAGCGATGTTTTTACAAGGTTGTATGTACTGATAACCTTTCAATGTCGCATGAGTGAGGTTTTGCTGCCCATATTTTGGCAAGGGTTATGGCAATATTGGGGTAAATGTTTTGTTTTCTTGCCAAATACTGTCCCATCTGAGCTAAACGTAGGTTTTGGAGAGTACGTATCAGCTCTGGTGATGTTACAATGCCGTTAAATTCGAGAGAAAATTCTATTAGCGGTAAATCTGAACATATTGTTTCATGGAATTCCTTGACATCAGCATGAGGCTTTAAAGCAATAAAGGGTTTGACCACTTTCAATATCTTCTGATCAACACCAAATCTCTGATCTAGAAATTCCACAAGGCAATAAATAATTTGTTTCTTCACCGCTGTTAGATCTCTTAAGGCTGACACAAAAAGGTGATGAACTCGCCTTTCTCGTGGAATACTAAGGGCAATGCCTTTCAAAGAAAGTTGATTATATTAGGCTCTCTTTGAATTTTTACAAGAAGTATTATAGTAAAAGATTCCACTCTTAATAATAATAATAATAATAATAATAAACATTTATATAGCGCACAAACCAAGACTGTTCTAGGCGCTTTACAGTAATACAAAATCCAATCTTAAAAACTAGTGTTAAGAATGTTAAAACTATAGAATACATCATACACTATTTAAAAACAAGTTAAAAAGATATGTTTTAAGAAACTTCTTAAAAATGGTTAATGATTCACACATTTGAAGATGAACAGGTAAATCATTCCACAATCTTGGTCCAGCAACACAGAACGATCTGTCTCCGTATGTCTTTAGTCTAGAATAAGGAATCTGGAGCAATTCATTTCCATTTGATCGAAGAGTACGCTGCGAAGTACGACACAGCATAAGTTCCTTCAGATACGATGGAGCAAGATCATTAACAGCTTTGTAAACAAGAAGTATAATCTTGAATTGAATACGGTATTGGACAGGTAACCAATGCAATCCGATAAGAACTGGGGTGATATGCGCCGATTTCTTAGTATCAGTTAGTAAACGAGCTGCAGTATTTTGGACTCTCTGAAGCTTCTGAAGCAAATATTTGGGTACACCATACAACAGGGAGTTACAATAATCCAGTCTTGAAGTTATAAATGCATGACATCCATTGTAGCAGAGACGATTTGAGAAGTTCTTCTTGAAAGATTAGTTTCGTTCAATATTTACATTGCTTTATCCACTTTCTGGAAAGTGAAAGTCAAAGGTATTGAATCTATTGACTAAATTGAGAAGTCTGAAGTGATTTTATTCGTCGTTATCTCTTATCAGTTTGATACGTTGATAGATTTTAACATTTAATTCTCAGTCAGCAGGGGAAACATTTTATTTATTTTTATAAAGACCCAGAAATAAAATAATATTAATTGTTACTGCTAAATTGAAAAGTATTTGACCTGAGATTTAGCTAAACTCACTCGAAGGTCATATTTATTTCCTAAAATATTATAGTTAATGACTGAAAAACAGCAAACTTCGCAGGGCTATATTATCCGCATTTTACAAGATTTCGCAAGGAAACTTCGGAATATTACTAATTTTGTGATGCTCCTTCAAGCCGTGATAAAACGTTTGTCTAAACTTGTCTAGATCAAAATTTTGTTCATTAGGGAATAGGTCCATTGATTGCTCCCACCATTGACCCAATAAGAACCCATGTCCTGAAAGACCTGAATGTATATTACCTATTACCTACTCTATCAACAGGTGCATGTACCGTATGAGTGGGGTCTGACGTCGCCACACCAAAAAGTGACTATTAACAGGCTAACAGTTGTTGTGACAGAGTCACAGTGTAACTAGAGAATAAGTAAGGTGAAGACTACTCCAAATTCAAAAAAGTGTTGCTAGTTATTCTCAGGGATAATGCGGGTCGATACAGTATTAATACTTCAACAAAGTGCATGGCAGAATTTTTGTATTTACTGGAGTTGTAATTATCCTTAGAATAACCCCTGATACGTATTTCATGCAGTAATTTCATAGTTTCGTAGATATAGTTTATATAGTCTTCGTGCTCAATTATTCATAGTTTTAATACACGCGATTTGAAATCGCATGTTTTGTAAGAAAGAAGCTAGCAATATATTGAATATTCATTCATGTGCGAAATGAGTTTGACAGATTCTGAGTATATAAAATAACGTGTCCAATAAAGTGAACTTGCAACTGTTAAGACCTGTTCGTCGACTCGAATTTTCCAAATAGGCGCGCTTGTAACTTTTCCGAATGGTGCAATTTTCTAAAAGTTGGGGTGGGTGGGTGCCGGACCCCCAATACTCCCACCCCTCGCTACGGCCTTATTGTTCGAACAAACAGCATAAATTGCAAAACTATTAGACGCGGATATGTAAACCTTTCGCAACATCTTCCGGTTAAACAATTTATTCAGTGCTACATTTAACAAACCATACTATTTACTAATTAGTAGCATGAAAATACAAACAAGAGAACGATGTTGTGTTTACAATTACTGATAACCGTTTCCATAATTGTTTTTCTCCAATGGACTAAACCAACACAAAATGACAGCAGAAAATGACGAAAATATGCAGAACATTTTGACGAGAAAAAAATATGCGTCAGAGACGGAATATTTTACCAGTTTATTTTTCGACAAAAGAATTTAGCATGAAGTACTCGTTAACTTACTTACCCTCTTGAATCATGCATTTTGCTCAAATCTTCTGAAGTACTTGCGAAATCTTAATATCAAAACTTTGTCTGCTTTATCTCAATTACTTAATTGGAATACCTGCCTGGCACTTCTTTTTGTAGAGCCGACTATTTAGTTGGATGTCATATCTTAATTGTGGTTTTTGATCGCTCGATTAAATTAAAACGCGAATACGGATGGACGGATAGATGGCGGACGGACGCAGGCTGCAGGAATTACTGTCCGGATTCAGGTGGAAAGAACAAGAATTTATACCACTGTCATTGATATATGACTAAGACGCCAGATGTTGGGCCTTAAGAGTCGTATATGCATGAGATATAACCGCAATTTAATCACAATAGGACCATTTGTTCTATGTGTGGCTCCACTTATTGTCATTAGAGAGGTTAAGATACCCCGATTCCGGTTTACGGGTACGGGTGATATACCCGTATCCGTACCCGTAAATCGGGGAATAACTTGTAACTTAAGAAATCCAAGATCAGAGAATGGCAACTTTCGCTGTTGAGGTTCGCAATAAATTGTTGAAAACTTTGACCAGCATATGTGCATTATTTATTTGGGTAAGATGTTGAAAATTTGTACTATATTTAAACGGTCCAAAAATAGTAAACAGAAGACACTCGTACCCGTTTGTCGTTTACGTGTAGACCACGGTTTACCACGGGGAAACTGGTAGAAATTACGGGTAAAATTGCTGACATCAGCAAAAATTTGTAAACAAAATGGCGATACTCGTACCCGTAAACCGGAACCGGGGTATCTTAACCTCTCTATTAATACATTTTGTTCAGTTCTTCAGTTTACATAGTGGGCACATCTACAGTTAGATTTCAATCTTTCTGGCAACCTTAATCATGAAACTTAGAACCGATACAACGAACAAATGACAGTGCTCTCGTTGACCTTAACAAAATATATACCACCATGCATGTCAATAGGTGATTAGAGTTTATAATATTCCAGTATGTAATAAAGTTAATTATTTTGCAACTTTCATATACTCTCCGTTTTAAACAGGACAAAAGGCCATTTCTCATCCCATATTTCTTAACAACCATGTGGTCCCAGCCGTTATGTTAATTTCAATGGTCCCAGCTGAGTTTGCTTAGCCTTACTAGTAACCATCTATATAGTGAACTGGTAACCATCTTTGACTTTTTTAGTTCCTGGTACGTGGATGCAGTGATGTCTACAAGGAAAAGGCTAGTTATTATAATTGACCAAAGTGGATCGATGAAAGCAAAACAGCGAATGGTTTTAGCTAAGGATGCAGCTTTAACTGTTCTCAATACACTGACTCCTGATGACTATGTGAGTATATCTTTCTTTTTCTTTCAATTGTTCGTATATAAAACAGCGGCCTAACGAATTAATTCAGAGCATTACAAAGACATCATATTAAATATGAATGATGAACTCATTAGTTAGAACAACAACGACAACAACAACGACGACGACCACAACAACAGCAACAGCAGCAACAACAGCAACAACAGCAACAACAGCAACAACAACAGCAACAACAACAGCAACAACAACAGCAGCAACAACAGCAGCAGCAACAACAACAACAACAACAACAACAACAACAACAACAACAACAACAACAACAACAACAACAACAACAACAACAACAACAGCAACAACAGCAACAACAGCAACAACAGCAACAGCAACAACAGCAACAACAGCAACAACAGCAACAGCAACAGCAACAACAACAACAACAACAACAACAACAACAACAACAACAACAACAACAACGATTTTCGTTATGCCAATTTTCAGGTGACGTCCGTGTTGACAAAACACTGAGACACAAAAACGTAGGGTTACCGCCTGGTTCATCACTTGCAAGTTATTGAAATAATTTTGCACATATCTTCATTTTCCAGGTAACAGCCATTGCATTTTCAACTTCACCTTCATTTCCTCCGGGATGTTTTGGAAGCAGTCTGGCCAAGGCTACTGCTTCAAACCTACAAGTTCTTAGGGAATGGATTCGCAACCTACAAGCGTCAGGTAAGGTTCAAACAATTGTTAATAACATGGTTAAGTCTATGTTGTATGTAAGTATAAGTAGGTCAAGAGGCCTTTGGTCGGTATAAGCCGAACAATTCTAGTCCATTTTCGTTTGGCGCTAGACCTTGAGAGATGGATTGCCGAAGGGGGAGCGCCACATCTCCCATCAGCTCCCTGAACTTACTTCACAGGTCAAATGACCTGAATGTAGTTGTGGTGGCTAGATACAACCACGGTTAGCCGCGCTAGTTATAAATAATGTCTTGAACAGTCCAAGTGGATGCCAATTTTGTCTTGCTACATCAGTTACTTCAACAACACTGCATTCCCTGAGTATTTTGACTCAAACACTTGAATAAAATAATGCCCCCACAGTAACTCAAAATTTTAAGTAAAATTACTAAAATTTATGAGCAAATTTAATTTTTTGAGTAAAGATTTGCTTTACTAAAACGAATTAGTAAAGTCGCTCAATTTACACAAGTGTTTGAGACAAAATGTTTTGCAGTGGACTAGATTTATGCAGTACAAGTAATATCCAGATTATTTTCAATCAAGTTAAATATCCAGATTATTTTCCCACAAGGGGAGTAATTGTATATATTATATGAAAGATGATTTTTGTTTGTCATCCACTGTGAATCTGTGATGTAACCTACATGCCAATATAATTGGAAGGTCATGTAGAATATTGCTTCTATATACTGTACGATTTTGTAAGACGCGATTTGATTTCCTTGAATAAGTCACTATAAATTATATATTTTAGGAAAGACTATGTATTCCTTGGCATTTGAAACTGCGTTTGATTGTTTTGTCAATTCGTCCTCCACGGATAAAGTAAGTATATACTGTCACACGAGAGGCAGATTGCTTTCTTACATCAGTAAAACTCATCTACATATCTAGAGATTGAAAATATGACAGACGTTCCTAACTATATATCGAATCTTGTTCACTTATTCCTTAATTGGCTTGTAACTATTAAGAGTTCATTAACTGGATTCTCTATAGGAAACTAGGTACGAGTGTCCAATTGTTATATACTCAGTTATATGTACTATGCAGATTTCCACCGTGTTTTCTCTCACCATTCTAGGGAAAGAACATCATTTTATTTCTTACTGATGGTGAACCATCGGACGATCCTAGCACGAAGATATATCCATCCTTAATTCAAGGACAACAACAAATGGTAACTTCCATTTTTAGATGTTTTATGATTATACAAACATATCATAACTGGTATAATGATTTTATCGCTGTATTTTCTATTCTCACAACTTGTCTTAAGAAAACAAGTTGTGGTCTATCATGCTGCGGTATTCCTGGATTCGACCCACTTATACGATAAATAAAAGATTTGATTTTATCATTTAGAATAACAGCGTGAGCATTCTGGCGTACGGTCTTGGTACGGGTATAAGTGGGAATAGAAATGCCAAGGAAGTTTTGACAAATATCGCAACGGAAAATAAAGGACATTTTACTATCATTAAAGATGGAAGTAAAGAAAAGTTGAACTCAGCTTTTGGAAGTTATTACCAGTATTTCGTCACAGCCATTGGTATAAGTATAAACTTACTTGTTTTAAAACTTAGGTTGACTCTTTTGAAATTATTCAAACTTCTCATTTGTCGGACGCTGGCTTATTGTACATAGATAGGAAATGACGGTATCCATTCTTAATTAGTGAATTAGAATACTTGCATTGTTTGTTTTTTAAATGATTTCATTGGACATCCCAGTGCATAGCTTCACTACGTCCCATGGTTCTCTAAACGAATAGTTAAATTGTCTGCCGTTTATATTATGGACAGATCTACCACTGTAAGTCTGTAACCACTTGAAACTGATGGTATGAGCAACTGCTATCACCTGCTACATATTAACATATATACCTGACGTAACTAGTAGGTAGCTGATAGCACCTACTACTACTTCTTGCATTACTTAAACTATTTACTTGGCCAAGACCTCTTGGGCAAGTCTGAGAATTCAAACTGAATAGTGCATGTTTTTCTAGGAAACGTTGCTCTGGGTAAACAAACAAGTCAGTCAAGTGTAATGTTAAAACAATTTCCAAATCTTGCTGTCAATGGTCGTGTTGATGGTAAATGTTCACAGACAAATTATGAGGAAAATCCTTGGTGGAGAGTTGATTTACAAGATGAATATTATATCATGGCTGTTGATATCTCAAACTGCTGCAACAATATCCTGAAAAATATAGAAGTTCATGTTGGTAATAACGAAATCAGAGAATTAAACAAGATATGTGGACATATTAATGTTTTAAAAGATAAAGAAAACCACATTATACTCTGTCCGGCTGATCTGTCAGGTCGTTATGTTCATCTGGGTGTACGAGGAAGAAATAAGAGTTTTTCAATTTGTGAAGTGAGAGTGTATCAGGTTCT